CTGAGTCTTTGGGACCCTGGTATACAGAGGATTTCTGCTCAATACAAAGAGCAGACATGGTATCGTTACCCTGCCAGGCTGATCACGAGCTATCCCACTTTGCTCCCCAAATCCCTGCCTAGACTTTTCACCAGATACTAGTACCCACAGATTCTGAAGCTTATCACTTTACGCATGAGGACTAGAAACTTGCTTTGTACACAAGAACATGAGACTTCTATAAATCTGCCTTTAAGGAGGAAAAAGAGGATCAGGAAGAAGAGGAAGGGTGAGGTGGTAGGGGGAGCAAGGTTTGGTGGTGCAGGGAAAGGTGGCTGCTGTCGGATCTTGGGGTCTCACCCTGTGATCGATTCCAAATGAAGAGTCTAAGTTCACTCAAGGCTTCTGTGAGATTCTGGACCTTGCCCTGGAGCTCTGTGTTCTTGCTCTGCAGCTCCTCAATGGCCTCTTGCAGCTCAAAAAACTGCCCCCCACCCAAGAACAGGGAGAATAGCAGCCAGAGCGCCCACGCCATCTGCGTCGCAGCCCTCCAACCGTTTCACAGTGAGTGCCGGACGCTCAGTGCAAGCCTGCTTCCCTTCCCAATCAATCAGGGCCAGCTAGGCGATCAATCATTTGTTAATTATCTCCATCCTGCCTGAGCCACAGTCTCAAAAACATACAGTACACACATCGTTCTGAGGTCTCCGAGAAACACTTGCTGGCAAAAATCAGAGGAAGGTGGGCTGCCGGGCCTGAAGGATGCCCAAGGCCTCAACTTTGATCTAATGCAATCCTTTCCTGACGAAGTCACTCTATCCTGAAGTCACTATGATCACCAATGTAGGGTCAATGTGAATCTCACAGCCTCTCATTCTCAAGAGAGAAACTGAAGGTGAAAAATATCACTATTTTTTCTTCCTGCAAGAAGATCTCTCTGCATTAGATTCTCCCCTTCCTGCTACCAAGAAATCTTGTAGGACATTTTGCAGGATTTCTTGGAAGCCTCAGTGATCATGTTTTCTGGGAGAAATGCTGGGATGCACAGAATTATTAAAACTCCTGCATAGAATGTCATCTTTTCTGTGCTGGATTCATTCAGCAAGGGCAGAAGAAACATGAAGCTGTGCAGGATTATTAAAATGCCTGTGCAGAATAGCACCTTTCCTGTGCAGGATACACCAGGAAAAGGCAGAAAAAACACTTAGATGAACAGGATTGTTGTAATTCCTGCTCAGGACAGCTTCCTTCCTGTGCAAAATTCCTCAGGAAGGCATTGAGCTGTGCAGAGTTTCCCAGTCTTTTTTGCAGAACAGTAGGTGAAAAATGATACTTAAAAAGGGGTAGTAGTTTATAAGCTCAGGATCTTGTTTTCACAGGAAGCATCAATGCAAGGGGAAGTTTTAGCAGGGAGTCTTGGCATGGCAAAACTCAAGACAACAGCAGAGAATGACAAATTTTCCATACAGAATGAGACTACAGTGGGGTCTCTACTTAAGAACGTCCCTACTTAAGAACAATCCAACTTAAGAACAGCTCCATTTGCTAAATTTTGCTTCTACTTGAGAACAGAAATCCAAGATAAGAACAGGAAAAAAAACCTTTCCTGCTCTTTTTTTAACCTTAGGTCATCTTAGGTTAAAAAAAAATTCTCCCCATAGTGGTAGAGTACGTATTAACCAGCTTTGGTTAATGTACGAACACACCTCTACATAACAAAAAAACAGCCAGAACGAATTAATTGGTTTTCAGTCCATTCCTATGGGAAATTTTGCTTCAACTTAAGAACATTTCAACTTAAGAACACCATTCCAAAACAGATTAAGTTCTTAAGTAGAGGTTCCACTGTAGTTTCTATGGACGGAAAAGAGCAGATACGGATTAAATGGTTTTCAATGCATTCCTATGGGAAATGCAGATTCAACATAAGAACTTTTCAACTTGAGAACCACCTTCCAATACAGATTAAGTTCTTAAGTAGAGACCCAAATGTATTGCATCAGGCTGAGAAGGAACTGTCCCTCAACTCCCTGGCTGCGAGGGAGGACAGAATTATGTATGTTAAACATCCTGGGGATAGGGAAGGTTAATTTTTTAAAATTACAATTCCGACATCCCATTATGGCTTTTTAATTCTGTTAATTGTAATCCAGGAAAACACAGTTCTTATCCTTAGTAGCTCTAAGGAGGCCCTACACTAAGATAGTGTAGGAATCCCCTCTCCTAGGCTCACATGTGCTCGTTGTCATTTGTGTTGAAGATTTCACTGCCAGCCCAACTGGGTTGGACACACAGAATTAGTGGGTGCCATCGTAGTGAGTGATCCTGAAGCTGAGGCTCCAATACTTTCGCCATCTCATGAGAAGAGAAGACTCCCTGGAAAAGACCTTGATGTTGGGAAAGTGTGAATGTAAGACGAGAAGGGGGCGACAGAGGATGAGATGGTGGGACAGTGTCACCGAAGCTACCAACGTGAATTTGACCCAACTCCGGGAGGCAGTGGAAGACAGGAGGGCCTGGCGTGCTCTGGTCCATGGGGTCACAAAGAGTCAGACACAACTTAATGACCAAACAACAACAAATCGTAGCAATTACTTCAGACAGCAAAATGTCTTGGGCTGACCCTGGCTGCCTTTCTAAAAGCCGCCCTTGTTGCTGCTGGTTATTGGTTTTTCTTGTTTTCAGAGGTTACAACCCTTATTTTGACCAATTCTTCACTACCACTCATTCATTCAATCATTCAAACCCCTAGTGCAAGCACTCTTTTGGACTCTTGTTGAAGAAGAAAGGAGCCACGACTGAAAAAGCATGGTTTTTAGAATTAATTCTCCTAGCCTCCTCGGGAGTCACCCCTTTTAACATCATGGACTGCTAGGAGAAGGTGGGACAAATAGCTGCTTTATGGGAGAGACATTCTGACAAGTATTGAGGTCATTAAGGGCCTTATGACCAGCACCTTCGAAACTAACATGGCCAGTGACCAAGCTGACTGGGAAATTCTAGGAGTTTAAATCTAAAAATGTAACTTCCCCAAGCTGTGCCTAAGCTGCTGTTCCAGCAGGGGCCTTTGTCAGTGCCCCTTCAAGGTCCATTCCCTGTCAGGGCTTGTCTTACAGAACAGGAAAAAGCAATTTGCAGGCTGCGCATTGTGGAGGAAAGTGTGAAATTAGTTCTGAGGGAGGAAATAGATAAAACTTATGTATTTAAAAACAAAAAGGAAATAAGTAAAACCAAGGGTTATGGGGAAGGACAAAATAAATGGACAAAAAGAAGCGGAGGGTATGAGGCACCAAGTAAACACAAAGGAAGTTGGTGGGATGTGTGAAAGATTACACACTGAGAGAGGTAAGGCAAATCACAAGGTGGTTTTAAAAAAACTTGAAGGAAAAACAAACGTTGCCTGAGACAGGGAAATAAATCACAGAAAGCACAAGGAAAGGTGTTTGGGAAAAAAATAAACTGGTATATGTGGGATGAATTCCAAGCTGAGATGAGAATACATCCCAGTCACTATTTACATAGCGGGTGTGTATGCAATTCTGAAAGGAGGGAAACAGTGGGATCTACGGTGGTGCGAAGCTGTGCCTTCGAGACATTTCAAGCTGTATTTTTACCTCCCAGGTGGTGAACAGGTACATTTTCGAATGTACCCAAGTGCCACCTGGGAGATGAAGACGTAACTGTTCCTTTCCAGCACACCTGCTCCAACTGTGTAGAGTTTTCTGATTGGTCGGGTTGCTGTGCCCGGATTCCTTCAGAAGGGTGCTTGGTTCACTTGGCCCAAGTTTTGTATGTGTGGACTGAAAAGGGAGGCACGCGGGCATTAGTTCCCTCCAGCTTTTTAATTCCATGTCTTCCCTGTCATTTCTGGTGTAGAAAAATACCATCCTTCAGGTTACACAGAACAGTTTATCAGGCAACACACACACACATATATATACACCTTATTTATTTGTTATATAGCTCATTCTCGAATAATATATATTCGTTATAGCTCATTTTCAAACAATATATATATTAATTCAGGGGCATCAACATCCTCTTGCAACTGAAAACCTCCCAGCCCTGCTAATGAAATGGCAGGGCTGCTGAAGTTCCTTCCACATGCATGATTCGTGATTTTGCTGACTGCAGCAGCCTATCGCTGCGTTTATTAAATAGCTTATTTTAAAGAAATGACTTTTTCCCTCTTCTCATACACAACAGGTCCAGAATCCGCTTTGGAAATTGGAGACTTCCAAAAAAAATAATAATAGCCCTTAAAGTGAATGGCTAAACAAGTAATCAGGGCTATTCTTCCAACATGAAATCCAGTATATTCTTCCCTCACACTCGTGAAATGCTCAAAAGGAAAGCGGACCCTAATTGCCCCTAAGAGGCAACAGTCCCTAAAGGGAGAAGCGATATGGGGCTTCCTGCAGAGGCCGAAAAGATCCGAGGTTCCCGAAAAGGTGCCCCAGATACTTCCTCTTTTGTCCATATTGTCTGCTTGGCCTCGGCGCCCGCCTTCTCTAAACGAAACGCCTCGCCAGACACGAAGCCTCGCCTCCCACTGCTGTCATTGGAAGGCTCGCTTCGGCTTTTCCGAAGTACCTCCGAGCACTTCCGAAGTCCTTCGCGAGGCGAACCGACCATTCCCGAGAGCCTGGCGATGATCTCCGAACGCCCGGTCGCCCCTGCTAAAATAACAGAAAGGAAAGGGCCACAGGCCGTGATGGACTACGACTCCCAGAATTCCTTATTGCCGGGTCGAATAGATGGGGCTCATGGGAGCTGTACCCAGTCCGCTCGCCTATGAGATCTCACCGTAGACACTCTCTATATACTGTGCCATCTCCGTGGCGGAACGCTCGACTCATTTTACGGTGGAGGGCAAATATCGGGGCGGAAATTGCCTTCAATGGTAGACCGGAAGTGCTGTTAGAGACTGCGCGACTTTAGCCGGCATTGTGGAAAAGGCGGCCGAGCGGGTAGTGGGTGGAGTTTGATGAGAGGCGGGGCCTATAAAAGCACTTTACGCCGCTTGGCCCCTCCTTTTCCGTTTCCGGCAGCCGTCGCCCCGAGACGGTAACCGCTAAGGCTCGTGCTTGTCGTGGAGGTAGGCCGCCCGCCCGACCGGATTAAGAGACCGAAGGTTGAAGAGAAAGGGGATTTGGGAGAAGGTAGAGCCCAGGAAAGCATGGTTGAGATCTCTCATCTCTCCTTCCATCTGTTGTTGGCAGCCCGGACTTCCGGAAGGGAGAAAAGACCGCAGGCCTCACGTGGCGCCTTCGGCATCTTGCTGATTTAATTTGTTTTAAAAGCATTTGTATCCCCCCCTTTTTTTTTAAAAAAAAAGGCTCAAAATATCTTGCAGATTTTTGTAATTTGACAGGCCTTGCTGTTCGGACATAGTGTGGTTGGTGCTAATTTCAGAAGGTGCTGGAGAGAGAGTGAACTTAAAAAATTAATAATACAGCCCGTAATGTTTTTGCTGAAAAAATAAAAGTCTCGCAGATTGCTAGGAGGTTTACATGGAAGCAGGTGCATGTTCGTCATTGAAACCTAATGCTGATTTCCTTGGCAGTGATGGGGGACTTTACCAACTGGGGGCAAGATTGAAGTTTTGAGGGTACTTCCATGCAATTTGTAATGAGTGTTTCTTAGATTTGAAATAAGGATGCTAACTTTAATAAATATTAATCAGTGTGTGTTATATTTATGTTATTTATTTATTAGATTTTTACCCCGCCCCTCTAGACAATGTCTACTTGGGGCGGCTTACATGGGTAAAAACTGAGCAGTATAACATGTATAAAATTAACACACTAACAAGATGGCATGGTGTCTATATGGTGCCTACTGCTAAGGTAGAGTTGGTTCTTTTTATGTTAAAAAAAGCTTAGTTTTATATTAAAAACACCCTTGGTTTTGAACATCCTCCCACTCCCATGGTTTTTTCCTACCAGTGGAATGCCTTACGTTTTTGATTGTATCCCTGAAGGAAGGTAGACCCTGATAGGTTTATGTTATCCTCTCCTTCACACTCATACAATGCTAGCTGCGTATTTAACTTCATCTTTACATATATAGTACTTGAGGAAAGAGGTTTAGTGATCGCATTCTACCACAACCTATTGGCAGGAACTATGGAGTGCAGTCAGACAGCGAATGTTCAGTATATTATTTATTTATTTATTTATTTGATTTATGTTATCCTCTCCTTCGCACTCATACAATGCTAGCTGTGTATTTAACTTCATCTTTACATATACAGTACTTGAGGAAAGAGGTTTAGTTATCGCATTCTACTACAGCCTATTGGCAGGGACTATGGAGTGCAGTCACACAGCGAATATTCAGTATATTATCTTGATCATGCGTGTGCTACTGTATCTTAGTACTCCATATGGGCATCATTGGGCGGGGGAAATGTTGGTATCCGCTGTGTATTTAACTTCATCTTTACATATACAGTACTTGAGGAAAGAGGTTTAGTTATCGCATTCTACTACAGCCTATTGGCAGGGACTATGGAGTGCAGTCACACAGCGAATATTCAGTATATTATCTTGATCATGCGTGTGCTACTGTATCTTAGTACTCCATATGGGCATCATTGGGCGGGGGAAATGTTGGTATCCATGTTATGTTAATGACCATGTCTATTATCTTGATCATGTGTGTGTTACTGTATCTTAGTACTCCATATGGGAATCATTGGGCGGGGGAAATGTTGGTATCCATGTTAAGTCAAAGTAGCAACATGCTAAAGGAAAGGTAAAGTAGTAAGAATATAAAAAGGTATGTAGTTTGTATTAAGAAGTTTCAATAAAATAGCATAAAGAGGTCTCAGTGGGATAGCTCATAGAATTAGGTATCTGGTTGTGTAGCTAGAGAGTTGGGAGTTTGATTTCCCATTGTGTGTCTCAGGAGAGCTAGTCTACTGCAGTTGAGTGTGGGTAACACAGAAGAAACATAAATATGAATAACTCTTGGTCATTTTGTGTACAGGATTTTGCACAATGTCTGCCCATCTGCAATGGATGATTGTGCGCAACTGCTCAAGTTTCCTTATCAAGAGGAATAAGCAAACATACAGCACTGTGAGTCAGACACCCCTTTCTTTTTTAAGCCTTAATTACTTATGGGTAATTTGCTGAAAATATGACTTTCTTTCTTTCTGATGGACCATATTTTGCTGAATTGCTAACATCTCATTTGCCTATGTACTCTTCTTTTCCTCTTTGAAGCAAATGTGCTTTTCCCTAGTCCTGTATTCCTGTTCCAACCCTCTGGGCTCCTTGGAAGTCTGTACTTACAGTTCTTTTGTTTCTTTCAAGGAACCCAACAATCTTAAAGCCCGCAACTCCTTTCGCTACAATGGATTAATCCATCGCAAGACTGTTGGGGTGGAGCCAGCTGCTGATAGGAAGGGCATTGTTGTTGTCCTCAAGAAGCGTGCAGGTGAGTTAGCATGGATCAAAAGATTCTGCTCAAGAGTTTTAAAATAGTGTATTTCTTGAGAACCGCCTTCCAATACGGATTAAGTTCTCAAGTCAAGACCCCACTGTAAGTGCTTTTCCCTAGTCCTGTATTCCTGTTCCAACCCTCTGGGCTCCTTGGAAGTCTGTAGTTACAGTTCTCTTGTTTCTTTCAAGGAACCCAACAATCTTAAAGCCCGCAACTCCTTTCGCTACAATGGATTAATCCATTGCAAGACTGTTGGGGTGGAGCCAGCTGCTGATAGGAAGGGCATTGTTGTTGTCCTCAAGAAGCGTGCAGGTGAGTTAGCATGGATCAAAAGATTCTGCTCAAGAGTTTTAAAATAGTGTATTTCACAGGGTGTTTTGGACTGTAGACCAACTCTTGAAATGCATCTGAAGAATAGGATGCTCTCTGAAGCCTATGCCAATAAACATTCCTGCAAAATGCTTCATTGTTTTTTCTGTGGACTACTCATGAATGTAATTGTCTCTGTGGAAGTATCTTTGACATTTCTCACATAGGCACAGAGAAGTTCTGTGTAGATAATATCTGTTCAAAGTTAGCGGGATCTAACTTGTGCCAGACTAGGGCCTCAATACCTTTGGTAGATTCTTGTTGCCCACAGTCCATCAAGTCCAAGTTTTCATATTCCATCCAGCCGTTCTCCTTTGAAAAGCCGTAATCTCAGAAAAACAGATTTTGAGGAATAGAATACAATATGTAAAAATAAGGCCACTTAGCACTTCGGTTCTAGGCCACCAGTCACAAGCTAAAAATCTGCTACGTTTATTGAGAAGCCTTGGTTTTTATTGCTATTATGTAGTAGGGGGGTTAATAATAAAGACCTGCCTTAGTTATTAGGGAGTGTTGTAGGGAGTTCTTGGTGAATGTGCCTGGTTCCTCCTGAGACATTCTTGAGCAAAGATGGGCCACAGTTTTCAAAGACAAATATATGTGTATATTTTAAAAATAAAAATGGTCAGCTTTCTTCCTAGAAGCCTCTAAAAGCAGTAGTTTTTGTATGAGGGGCAGTAGAGACCCCTCATGTTCCCTTCCCCCCAAAAGACAAATTTATATGTGACTGTCTGAGCAATTCTCAGTAAGCAAGAAACAGCCATTTTGGACTCTGCAGCCTACAGAGAAGGGAATGGAGGAAAAGGTTTGGCCCTTCATCTTGCTCACTTTGCTCTAGAGTTTTCCTCTCATATGGTCTAATATTTTTCATTTTTTGCAGGCCAGCGGAAGCCAGCCACTTCCTATGAGAAGATCACCATCAACAAAAATGCTTGTGCTACTCTTAGCAGCCTCCGCCACATCATCCGCAAGAACAATTACCGCAAGGACCTACGCATGGTAAACTCCGGCTCTCTTTTTTCCCCTCTTGTTCTGGAGTCAGACATCTGATGTTCAGAATCTTACATTGTGACTGCTTGAAGGATGGTAAAGTTATCAAAAAGTGCTCTTATATAAAGTCCCAGGAATTAATCTGTATTCCACGGGCTATTAAAAGATGGCAAGGGGTCTTCCATAACAATTGCTGCCCTCTTTTGGAAGTGAAGAAGGACGATGGGTGTGGAGAAGGATGTAACTTGTTTTAGTGCTGGCCCTATTTTTGGAGGGTGAATGAGAATTGTACTTCTAAGAATCTTATATTAACTCTTCAGGCCAGAAATTGCTGTATAAGATAACTGGGTTGTAACACGTCCCTGGAGCTGCCAGTTCCTTGTGTTCACTATCCTTCTCTCTCCCTCCTAGGCTGCCCTGCGTCGTGCCAGTGCAATCCTTCGCAGCCAGAAGCCAGTGGTGGTGAAGAAGAAGCGGACCAGGGCTACCAAGGCTGCATAATAACTGTTGTCAAATTATCCAATAAAAGTTTAGAACCAGAGTTCTAGATGTTTTAAGTGGTATTAGTAGATCACAGACATTAGGATTTTTTTCCCTTGGAAAAAAGGAATCCTAGTTTGCGCTTGTTTAAAGCCAAAATCATTACACATTTCTAAAACTCTTCATAAAAGTGGTGGTATTTGTTTCGAATAAGGTGGGCAGACAGGAAGGCTACACATTGACCCTGGAAGCCTGTCTCGTGAATTCTTTCCTGCAACTTAATGCATTGCAGATTCTTCGATTTCCCATTGTTTCCTCTGCTATTTGCTAAAAACCTTTATGGCTGCTGGTGCTTGATCCTCATGAAATCACAGTAGTTGCCGCTTGCTTTATTAGGTTTGGTTTTTTTGTTGTTGTTGTTGTTGTTGTTGTTTTTGTTGTTGTTTTGCTATTAGATAATGGAGTCTGTGTGTATAAAACAAAAGATTTTTCAATGTGGTATAAATATCTCATTTTTAAAACAATCACAAACTAAGTTTTAAAAGCAAGTTTAAAAACAATTGAAAATCTGTAAGTTCAAATTCGCGAGTGCTGTAAGGAGATTGCAGGTTGCACTCTCTAAATGCAGAAGATGAGCAAAGAACCCAGACAGCATCTCGTAAAAAAAATGTTCTGGCTGAAATCCTGTTGCTGAGCTCCACCTTTTTTGCTACAGATAAAATACTTCCTTTTTTGATGTTACGGTGTGCACAGCTCACATGCAATGAGACACAGTCACATGCACCCAGTAGTGAAAAAGGAAGTCTTTAATCAGCAGTCTGCCACTGATGATGATCTCATTCCCATTATACAGGCAACTTTGCAACTGGAGTTTGGCTTGTCTGATCTTTATTCAGGCAGCTACTTGTGCTCCTCTCCTGCTGTGAATGGCAGGACTTAACAAGAATAGCTACTGCCTTAAGCATGCCTTGCCTGATTTCTAAAGCTAAGTAGGGGTCAGGTCTGGTTAATATTTGAATGGAGGACCATCATGGATGTTCCGGTAAGGCAAGGAATGAATCCTTGAAAAGAAGGAAATGTTCTCCGGGATAGGCAGTATTGTGTTGGATGTACCAAAGGTGTGATTCCATATAAGCTGCTTATGTTTCTGCTTCCTAAGGTCAGTGGATAAGGGGAACAGGAAGGAACTACACTGTAAATCAAGGAAGTGTACTCTTAACATTAAATGTAAGATGAAAGGGAACATAGTTACGGAAACACTGTACCTCAGTTTCATTCTCTTTGGGTGTGCAATCCTTCCCTGCTACTTGCCCAGCATTGATGGCAGCTCCTACTAAAAGAAGTTGCCCATCTCTAGTTTAGAGCATAAGCTTGGGTTTTCCTTTGATTCTAATTCATTGAAATGGTTGTTTCCATTAAATAATTAGGCATTTTCCCCAGTCCCTCACTAAGATTTTTTGTGGACACCAAAGAGTACATGTACACCACCAAGACTATTACCATAGTCTGTGGTGGTTGGAAGAGACAAAAGACAGGTGCAGAATAAGCATTGCAAGTGGCTGTGTCATCACATGTAGGTGAAGAACGTGGTATTCCTGGTTGTTGTTTAGTCGTTAAGTCATGTCTGGCTCTTCGTGACCCCATGGACCCAGACCATGCCGGGCCCTCCTGTCTTCCAGTGCCTCCTGGAGTTGGATCAAATTCATGTTGGTCGCTTCGGTGACAATGTCCAACAATCTCATCCTCTGTCTTCCCTTCTCTTGCCTTCACACTTTCCCAACATCAGGGTCTTTTCCAGGGAGTCTTCTCTTCTCATGAGATGGCCAAAGTATTGGAGCCTCAGCTTCAGGATCTGCCCTTCCAGGGTTGATTTCCTTCAGAATGGATAGGTTTGTTCTCCTTGCAGTCCAGGGGACTCTCAAGAGCCTCCTCCAGCACCACAATTCAAAAGCATCAATTCTTCGGCAGTCAGCCTTCTTTATGGTCCAGCTCTCACTTCCATACATCGCTATTGGAAAAACCATAGCTTTGACTATGCATACCTTTGTCAACAAGGTGATATTTCTGCTTTTTAAGATGCTATCTAGATTTGTCATTGCTTTCCTCCCAAGAAGTGGGCATCTTTTAATTTCGTGGCTGCTGTCACCATCTGCAGTGATCATGGAGCCCAAGAAGGTAAAATCTATCACTGCCTCCATATCTTCCCCTTCTATTTGCCAGGATGTGATGGGACCGGTGGCCATGATCTTAGTTTTTTTTGATGTGGAGCTTCAGATGGTTTTTTGCACTCTCCTCTTTCACCCTCATTAAGAGGTTCTTTTAGTTGTCATCACTTTCTGCCATCACAGTGGTATCATCTGCATATCTGAGGTTGCTGATACAGTATTTCTTCCGGCAGTCTTAATTCCGGCTTGGGATTCCTCCAGTCCTGCCTTTCGTATGATGTATTCTGCATATAAGTTAAATAAGCAGGGGGGACAATATATAGCCTTGTCGTACTCCTTTCCGAATTTTGAAACAAACAGTTGTTCCATGTCCAGTTCTAACTTGCTTCCTGTATAGATTTCTCAGGAGATAGATAAGGTGGTC